CTACAGCTTTTATCATTGTGCATACAGTTTCTGTACTGTCAAACGCGTACCTAAGCGTGGACACAGATTTCTCAGGGTGATCTTGCATACGATACTTATTGGTAGACGCGTGCGAGCATGTGATTAAGATGCCTCATTCTAGTCACATACCATCATCTGGAAGTTTCCAGGCACATCAACTTTAAGGATGTGCAGGACACAGTGGTTATGTACAAGATCTGTGTATATCAGGCCTAGTCTGGACTAGAGATGTGACATGTTAATATTAAAACTTTATTCAATTATTTAATTTAGAACATCCATACATCCATTTCGTATGCATGCTTTATTTTGTGGGGTAGGTTGAAAGATCACCCATCTATCACAGATCAAACACCCAACCAATGAGTGTATCTGTTGCAACTTATGAGGCCTCTAATAACAGCAGAATCTGATGTGTGACAAGCATGGCAAGCCAAAGTCACAGCCTCAGCAAAATATGTCCATGCATGTTACTGACGTGAAAACTGAGCAGAGAAACTGCTGATATTTCCACAACATATTTCATAACATAATTCTGTCTGAATTGTAACAAACAGGTTTTAAAAGCCTTTAAAACATGGGAGCTTCTTTGAGTAACATTTCTAGGTCTTATTAAGACCCTTCAAGGCTCCTTTTCAATTTAAAAAACATTCTTAATGAAGTGCATTTCCAACATGACATGGTGCAGTGTCTTGAAAAACTGCATCATATTTGTAGTTTTTTCTTGTGTCTCTATTGACGTGATGTGTACTGTACTCCTTCCCGGATCAATCTGCTCACATATATTTATATATATAGGTACAGTTGAAACCAGACATTTACATACACTGTATAAAAAGACATATAACCTTTTTTTTTTCACCGTCTGAAACTTTTCTTGTTTTAGGTCAGCTAGGATTACCAAAATCACTTCTATTTGCTAAATGCCAGAATAATAAGAGAGAGAGAGAGATTTTTTTTTTTTACTACTTTCTTCAAAGTCAGAACTTCACATCAACTAAGATTACTTTGCCTTCAAATTATTTGGGAAAGCCCAACTAAGGACGTCATGGCTTTGGAAGCTTTTGACAGGTTAATTGACAACATTTGAGTTAATTGGAGGCACACTTGTGAATGTATTTTAAGGCACACCTCAAACACACTGCTTCCTTTTGGAAAATCTAAAGAAACCAGCCAAGATATCAGGAAGAGAATTGTGGACCTCCACAAGTCTGGTTCATCCTCGGGTACAATTTCCAGATGTCTGAAGGTTCCACGTTCATCTGTTCAGACAATTATATCAAGTATAAACACCATGGGAATGTCCAGCCATCATAGCGCTCAGGATGGAGATGGTTCTGTGTCCCAGAGATGAAGTGTTTTGGTGAGAAATGTGCGTATCAACCCCAGAATAAAAGCAAAACACCTTGTGAAGATGCTGCTGAAGCTGGTCAGAGAGAGTCATTATCCACAGTGAAACCAGTCCTGTACCGACATGGGCTGAAAGGATATTGTCAAGGCATGTGGAGCATTGCGGCTTACAAACCTGACTCAGTTCCAGGAGGAATGGGCCAGAATTCATCAAACTATTGTGAGAAGCTTGTGGAAGGAAACCCAAAACGTTTGACCCAAGTCATACAGTTTAAAGGCAATGCTACCAAATACTACGGACATACATAAACCTTAGACTTTAAAGAAAGTAATAAAAATTTTTTTTTAAAAATCTCTCTCATTATTCTGGCATCTAGCAAATAGAAAAAATTTTGGTAATCCTAACTGACCTAAAACAGGAAAACTTCAGTCACATTTAATGTCAGATAGTGAGAGAAAAAAAAAAGTTATGTGTCTTTTTATACAGTAAACTTCTGGTTTAAACTGTATTATGTATGCAATGTGCAATGTAATGTGTCTGCCTCTTTCATCATGTATATACATACATATCGCAAGCTGTAGTTAAATTTACTAAAAATCTGCACCAAATGATGAAACGGACCACTTCTCAAACCTCTTTTTTTTTTTTTTGCCTAGGCCTTAGAATGACGTCTGCTTACATTGCAGTAGAAAAGTCAAGTTACAGTACCATAGAGCGAATCTTGGATCAATGCAGTCTGCTCAGGGAGGAGGTTGAGGTAGGTGGATGTGTCAACAATACAGTGGACTTAAAATGCAAGACCACTGTCTGTTTCAGACCAACAACCAACTTTTTTGAAACCATGACCACAGCTATATCCCTATCCACATTGTTATTATTCTAACCTTAATGATAAACTTACAGTACCGTTACAGACGTAGTCATTTTTTACTCAGATTCCAACCCATTCTTTTTTCTCTGAAACAACTAAGTCATGTTTGTGGCTAAACCTAACCACACTTTCACTATAGTGGCGTCACATCATCATAGAACTGCAACTACTTGTGAGAGAAAAATAATGTTGTCCTGTCGATGCTTATGTTCGATCAGCAAAGCGTCACTATGGTTTGGAACAGTCTATTTTTTTCCAAAGTTTGAAGAAATGTGCTGTTTGATGGCGTTGCTGCTTTACAGCACGTGGCACACCCATACAGGACTGCATCACAGTGCTGTTTTCACACTAGTGTGACCAAAAGCATTAAAATGTTGGGAATAAATCACGCTTAATGTTCCATAAATACAAAAAAATCACAAAAAGCATGGCAGTGCTTTTGTATTAATGTTCATGATTCTACACGTTTTAATAAGGTGGCCGTTAAATGTATTGCAGCTGCTCGTATCTGCAGAGTTGACTGGCTCGGTGTTCACTTCAGTCGTTGGCCAAGTCACTAATCAACAAAGACGTGGTGACAATATGTCTTCTGCGAGATTTAGCTGCTCAGTCTTAACCATCCTTAAACTGTGCTTAAGTTGATGAAATGAAATCAACTAAAACAATGTCAGCAGTAAACATATCGCAGACATGAACATATTTTCTGATCCAATCCAAAGACGTATGAATGTGCAGTATGTTGCACATGAAAATAGTTCTTAGACAAGAGAATGTTGGAAGTGAGAGTGAAGCCCTGGTATTTTTATTTGGGGTGTGACTCAGTTGTGCCCTAAGGCTCATTTAGACGCTACTACAGTACACAGACCGCGGCCAACACCTACACTAGAAATGGTAAGACAGCTTTCAACAGGTACCGACAGTTCCAGTTCTGTCAGAAAATGAAATGTGCTTCATCTTTAACTCTTGATGTTCTTTTAGCTGCAAGCTGACCTTGAATCAGTAAAAACTCAACTTGTAAAATACCTTTTAGATACATAAGCAACAAATATGCTTACACCAGTGCAGTAAATATCCATAATGTGAAAGTTATATTTAAAAAAAAAAATACAATAAATAAATAGTGACATTAACGGAACCTTGATCATCAGAGCAAACAGTAAAAAGACACAAAGCGGTGTGAGTATTGAAGCTAGCATGTGAAGTGCCCTTGAGCATCTACAAGCAAATAAACGGTGGCATATTTTATAGTAAGTGTGTAATTCAAGACTTACTCTTAGAGCATTTCTTTACCTATTCATCCTTAGGTCGCTTTTTTTCTGCTCCACTTTGTATATTTCACCTCTAACTAATGTTAATATAATGTTTTTTGTCAAATTTGTGCTTTCTATGAAATGTCCATCACTGTATAACTACAACAACTGCACAGGCTTCCTTCTACATGTATGTAATTTTGTGCAGTGGATAAGCACCTTGGTGCCTGAAGGGAACCTCCTGCAAAACCAGTTTGTTCTTCTCGAGCACTCTCCTCACGCAGCTGCTCTATCTGAAGATTCAACTTTCTTGTCTTTGCACGCAGCACAATGAAATACAGTTTTCGTAGCTTTTAGAAGGGTGGGCTCAGAGTGCAGGGTCAGCCACACAACGGCGCCCCAGGAACTGACGGGGTTTAGGGCCTTGCTTTAGGGCCCACAGTGGCAGCTTGGTGATGCCAAAGTATCCCTAACCCTCTGATCAGTGGCCCAAATTTTACTGCCATGGTTTGAGTCGACTGTTCAGCCTCAGAGGGCAAATCAAGTCGGTGTTGTTCCAAGTGATCATCTTTACACTTACTTTCTGTTAGTTTTTCCATTTTTTTTGTCACCTCACTGTACCTCTGTCTCTGAGATTTTCACCAACCCGATGCAATAGGAAGTGAAATGGAGGTGCTCTTAGAAAGCACTGAAGAAGTAATAATGAATCTAACATTTCAACAGCATCATCTCCTGCACCGCTGCTAACAGTGTGTTCTGTGGATAAACCTTTTTTTTTTGTTGTTGAAAGAAATAAAATAAAATCTCAACTAGCCCAAATATCAATGCTATTAAACTTCTGCAGTCCATCTTTTTCTTTCATTTTTTTTTCTCTGATTATTGACTTTATGGTCACAAAACTATTTGTTACTATAGTTTCAAAACAGGAAGCCATTGAATTGGGTCAATGAGATATGAACTCAGATAAAAGAAAAAACTTGTAGAAATTCCATTGTTGTGAGATTTGAACAGTAATTTGGGAATCTACTGTATTTACATGTACATATTACGCCATATGCAAAGTCACCTTTAGTAAACTGTCAGAAAAATGCAATAGCTAACTCACTAAAGTTTTCATATTTTATCATACAAGAGGAGAAAAGACAGAAAAAGGTGAATCTCTGAGTATGTAGCTCCCAACTCCACTGCCCCACACCTCTCAGAAAGCTAATCAAGTGAATTAGTCTTTGCCAGAATGTCTTTCCTCCCCTCTCTCACCACTTGGCTCTGATGCCATTCCTCTGCAAGCATCTAGGTGTGTCGGGCCTGGATCACTTTACAAGGGTGGCACTGTTACCTGTCTAACAGGCTGAGCTGCTCCAAGCTGATCTACTTGCCTGCAAGTGCACCCTCCAGGATCCAGGTAATTGGAGGAGGGCTGAGGGGAGGTGCAGAGGAGGTTGAGCTTATTGGGACCTCCCTCGCAGTTGGAGGCAGATAAAAGTCAGCCACGGACAGAGAGAAGATACTTAGAGGGATTTGACTCTCCTCTTTGTGTGCTCCACTGCTCTGCCAAACCTCTGTCTTTCCTTCCCTTTTTCTCTGTGATCCTTCCCTTTAAGAAGAAAGCCATGACGAGTAGAGTGAGCATGAGATCTACGAAAGTCGTCTCCAGCAGTGGTGGAAGCACTTATGGTGGTGGCGGCAGCTTCCGTATGGGACCATCAGGATCTGGTGGATTTACCGCAAAATCTGCTCACATGTTCAGATCCGGCCCAAGGATGAGTTCCGGTGTCAGTATTTCAAGTTTTGGTCAGGGTATGAGTGCTGGTGGTGGAATGGGTTCTGGCTTCATGAATTACAGTTCTAGTGGTGCTGGTGGTGCTGGTATGTTTGGCGGAGCTGGTGGTGGTGCTAGTATGTTTAGCGGAGGGTATGGTGGAATGAGTGGTGGTATGGGTGGTGGTATGTTTGGTAGTGGTGGTATGGGTGGTATGGGCGGTGGACCTATCATCCCCACCATCTCAAACGTCCAAGTCAACCAGAGCCTGCTGGCCCCTGTGAGCCTTGAGATTGACCCCACCATCCAAACTGTCCGCACCCAAGAGAAAGAGCAGATCAAGACTCTGAACAACCGCTTCGCCAGCTTCATCGACAAGGTGAGTTGCCTTTTGCTGTCGGTTACAGAAACAGCGACTGTCCTACGTTTTTGCCCTGCACCATTTCAAAAAACTGTTAAAAATCTGGATTGAAAAATTGGCCTTTAGATGTGATATACTTTGTAATCACTAAATGAACAATAGTTTCTGATATGAAAAGACTAAAGACGGCAAATGATTAGAAGTAGACGTTGCAGCAGACTTTCTCTAAAGGGTCACCTGAGCTCATTAAATATTACACAGGAACTGATCCAAATCTGAATATCATACACACTCAAGGCCTATGAAAACCAGGGCTAACTAGCTCAAATTTATTTTAATAAGCACAATGCAAATCAGTGTCAACATGGTTTGGTTGGTTGTCCAAAAACTGTCATCCCAAACAGGCTTCTTAAAGCAACACTGTGCATCTGCTATACAGACAACGGAAGAAGACCGCTGCTTCATTCATTTCTTTTTGGCCAGAACTGGCCTCTTGCCAGCTGTCTCGCTGTAGAGTGAGAGGCAGGAAACACTAGAGTGGTCGTATCCAGTGACTGGTGGCTTTCAGTGTGACATGAAGAGGGGATCAGGTTATCACCTGTTCCCATGGCTGCAAGGACTCGCTCGCTATCAGTGGTGCTGCAGAAAGTGGACTCCATTTTACTCCTTGCAATGCCTTGCATAATAGTTACAAGTCAAAGTTAAGCCAATGTGTGGAGCCTTTGTATTAACTTCTGGGCTCTCTCTGTGGGATGAGGGAAGACACAATAATTTAATTTTTTAATTCACCCTTTCACATTTTGATGTATGAAATGCAGATGAAGGACTTTTTCTCTAAGTCAGAAATGACACACCCTGTGTGAGAAAATGCTCAGTTAGCTTTTTCTGCAGTGTACATAACCACACCTAATCTGTCTTTGCACAGGCGACCTGGTCTAATTCCATTCAGACTTCTTGTTTTTTATTAATCTAAAAGTAAATTGTTTGTAATAAAGCATCAGGTACAAAAGTATTACAAGTGGCAGTAGGAGGAAGGATGCAGCAGGTGTTTGCTAAACATTTTCATTAGATAAATCCAATAAACAGTATTATTGAACAAATATGGTATCTTTAAAGCATCAGCGCTCAATTATCATGGCAGGTAATACCTTCAGGTGTGTTGCCATAATTACTGAGGGTTGAGGCAGGCAAGTTGACTCAGTGAAAGTATGCATCCTGGAGGCGAGGGAGCACTAATGTCAGGTGTTTAGGGAGGAGCTCGGCTGAGGTGTGGCACGGAACAACTTGCCTTACCTTAAAACAAAAGCACACACCCAAAGATGGACTGTTTGGCCCTACCTTCTTTAGGCTGCAAACCCAGAGGGCTAAGCACTCCATTGTCCATCTCTTGGAAACAAGCAATGAAGCATATTGCTCAGGATTATGTCTTGTAATGATCTCATCAGAGCAAGTTTGGTTCCTCTGTACTCTGCAGAGTCTCTACAGCGCAGTGCATCCAGAACATCTCTGCCCCTACGGGCATTTCAGTCCAGCATCTGGCAGTATTTTGCAAACAACAGTTTTTGGTGTGGGAAAGTCACACAAAGGTGTGGCTCAATGGATCCCCCGAGGAAAGTAAAACAAACAACAAAAAAAAACAAATAAAAAAAACAAACATCTTTTTCTCCTCTGAGCGAGCATGGTTCATGTGACAAAAAAACAGTTGTTAGCATCGTATTTGTCTTTTTGATTTGTACTCTTGCACATGTTAGAAAATGAAATCAGACTTCGCTAAGCATGTAAATCTTTGGACATGAATCAGTTTTAGTGTAGTTTTAACGATGCACAATTCATCTGACTGTTATTATTCTGCAGCCATATTCAAAATACTACTTTCTCTCCGGTGACAGCAGATCTAAACTTGGCAAATGGTTTTATCATTTAGGTCCGCTTCCTGGAGCAGCAGAACAAAATGCTGGAGACCAAGTGGAGCTTGCTGCAGGACCAGACCACCACCCGCTCCAACATCGACGGCATGTTCGAGGCCTACATCGCCAACCTGCGCAGACAGCTGGATGGCCTTGGCAATGAGAAGGTCAAGCTGGAGGGAGAGCTGAAGAACATGCAGGGCCTGGTGGAGGACTTCAAGAACAAGTAAGTCCAAGTAGCTGACCTGCAGCAGATGAAACCCACAGGTTTGTTGTTGTTTTTTTCCATCGGCTTATTTTTCTCCTCTCTGTGTCAGGTATGAAGATGAAATCAACAAGCGCGCCACTGTAGAAAACGAGTTTGTGCTCCTGAAGAAGGTGAGAGTGAATCTGCCATTATAAAGCCTTTGCATGAGTTATTGCTTTCCCCGTTGACCATCGCCAATGCAAACCACCTCCTTCTTCTTCTCTTACAGGATGTAGATGCCGCCTACATGAACAAAATTGAGCTGGAGGCCAGAGTTGACGCCCTTCAGGATGAGATTAACTTCCTCAGAGCTGTCTATGATGCGGTAAGAACAAGCAGTTGAATGCTACTGCCGGGCACAGACAAAGAATAGAAATAGATTGTGGACCATCTGTACTCTCTGAAATCTTTTTATTAAAACAATCCATATTTTCTGTGCAGGAACTGCGTGAGCTTCAAGGACAGATCAAGGACACCTCAGTCATTGTGGAGATGGACAACAGCCGCAACCTGGACATGGACGCAATTGTGGCAGAAGTCAGGGCTCAGTATGAGGACATCGCCAACAAATCCCGCGCTGAGGCAGAGACATGGTACCAGACTAAGGTAAGTACAGTGAGAGAGTCTGCAGTGCCACTTAAACCAGAGGGGCCTGTGGAATCTGTAATAACAGTGAGTTTTATTCTTCCCCTTTAGTTCCAGGAGATGCAGACCAGTGCTGCATCAGCAGGGGACGACCTTCGTAACACCAAGAGTGAGATCGCTGAGCTTAACCGTATGATTAGCCGGCTCCAGAATGAGATCGAGGCAGTCAAGGGACAGGTAACAGAAGCTTGTGCCTCGCTGATGGCATTTGTTTCCTCAATATATGTTGAAAGGAAAGTAAAGAAATTGAAAATAAAAATACGGCATGTGACACTTCTGCTTCATCCAGCGTGCAAACCTGGAGGCCCAGATCGCTGAGGCTGAGGAGCGCGGTGAGCTGGCTGTGAAGGACGCCAGGGCCCGCATCAGGGACCTGGAAGAAGCCCTGCAGAGAGCCAAACAGGACATGGCCCGCCAGGTCCGCGAGTACCAAGAGCTCATGAACGTCAAGCTGGCTCTGGACATTGAGATCGCCACATACAAGAAGCTTCTGGAAGGAGAGGAAATCAGGTAAAAGATGAGCTGCTTTCCTCTTCTGAAACAAAAAAAAGTGCAGTGCAGATTCCATAATGCAGTTCATATTATCAGTAGCTGATTTGCTGATCTGTGTACCTCTTTGCAGACTTGCCACGGGCGGTTCAACTGCAACCATCCATGTACAGACCTCAGGTGGTGGCGGCGGCGGCGGCGGCGGCGGCAGCGGCGGCGGCTACGGTACTTATCAACATATATCTTCACAGTTTGTTAATTGAAATGATGAAGCCATCAGTCTGGCTTCAGTTTGGTTTTCATGATTTAAAACTAGATCATATGCTGCAGGAAAATTGTGACTTCTGGCATCTCTTCTGAATATGTGTTTTTCTCATCACCATGTGCAGGCATGGGCGGCATGGGCATGGGCGTCGGCGTTGGCGGCGGCATGGGCGGTGGTTTCAGCAGCAGCATGAGCATGAGCAGTGGCGGCGGCGGCTTTGGCGGCGCCGGCTATGGCAGCAGCGGCAGCATGATCGGCGGCGGCAGGATGACCATGAGCAAGACACAAACAGTCAGCGCACGTCGTTATTAAACGCAGCAGTCCTCTTTCTCTCCATTTTTCCTCCTTCTCTCATTTTGTTCTCCTCCTCTTGTCCCACTCACGAAAGCTTTCATAAAACCCACCACCCCTCTTCCTGCAGACACAGAGCAGTCTCAGCAACACGTTGCACTTGACCATCTACAGCTGACCAAACCGAGTAATGGTTTTGGCACAACACACCTACAGAGGGGTAGACATTACATCCAAATACAAGTAAAGGCAGAGCTATTGTTGCGAGCAGCAGAGATGTGAGTCAGTCCTGTTCTCCAGTTATCAGTCAGCCTGGCTGTCTTTTGGTTGCTGGATGTGCTGTTGTGTAGACAAGGGAATACTTGTAGTGTCATGACAGAGAATCCTTACAAAGCAACAACCACTGCACACAGAATGACAACAGCAGTTCTTAGCCCACAGTGTCTCGTCTGCTGTGTCACATCGGTCATTATGTCGAGCAGTTTAACATCATCAAAAGCAGCCACCTCTAACACTTTGTTATTTTACTTTTGGGATCCTCCTTTTCTTCTCCTGTTTTGAGAGAAAATGAGTTCTCCACTACAGTACATAAAGGTGTTTTGATCATGCTTTGCTTCCATTTTCACTCTAAATAAAAAAAAGAAGAAAAAAAAAAACACTGATCAGGCTGACTGGGACAAACAGATTTATTGTGAAATTGTACCATCAAAATCATCTCACCAATAAATCCAAGAATCTCTGAATGCTTGTGTGTGTGTGTGTTTTCTTTGCAATGTCTCAACAACCATGTATCTGATCCACTTCATCTTAGCAGGTGTATAGTTGGAGACCCGAGGAAGTGTAGTTTTGAGCAGAAGCAGACTGAATGAACCAGAACCAGAGCCACAGCGGTTATTCTAGCATAGCACTTGAAAGCAGTTGATAATGATGGCTATTTCTGAAGCAATGGGGTTCCATTTCAGACAGAACTCATCCAAATAAGGGTTGTCATTTCAGATGTCAGCAGGTTATATTTCGAAGGCTACCACATGGGCTCAACTCAGTGTGCCCATCACAAAACAAATCCAAGTGCTAGTCAGCTAAACTTTGGAGGGTTTGCACCACATAACATGACGGTACATAAAAATGTAAATGCATTGAGTGTCTAGCATCAACAGGTAGATGCAGATGATGCAGAGAATAAATATCTAACTAGAGAAACACTATAGCAACAGATAAGATATTTGGCTGAAGCAGCTGGCTACCTGACTTTAGCCAGTTTTTGCCAAGTGCTGTGGATATTGTAGCTGTGCCACACCTATGGCAGATAAATAGAAGCAGGTCTGCCAAAAGTCTGAGTAAGAAGAGATGAATGCAACATGCCTGTGCAGAAATGTAAAACAAAAAAGCTGAGAGAATGTTGGAGTGGTGACAGGGTGTGACATTAGAGATGCTTGTGTCTGCAGTGGAGCCATAAAAGTTTGGATTTGAAGCAGGGACATCAGTAAAGCACTGCTATGATTCTCACAGTACCAGTTACTTTGTTCTCTTTAAAAAGAAGAAAAAAATTATTCTTTCCATTTATAAAGTTCCTGCAGCCATTAGAAGACAGCCGGATACATATGTTAGTAAATCTGCACCTTCTGCCGACCAACTGTGCTCATTACATCCTGTGCATCTAAAACAAAGCTGGCACAAAGTAAACTCTTATCCCACCACATACAACAGCCTGGCCAATGATATCCATTATTTCTGTTGTTTATGCAGCTCATCAATGCAGTGTCCCTGCACGCTTTCCAGATCATGTTTTTTTTTTTTTTTTGTAATGATGCAAGTGCTGCTGCATCACATTTTGCAGTACTGATGAAATGAGGTGTGCTTTTGGGTTGTTTGCTCGGAACCAAACTGGTCAGAGAAGAGCGATTTTCTGGGAATGCATCTTGCCATTGGTCGAGTTGATGTCGTGTTGCCGAAGGATGAGACCAATAACGTGATTGGCTAGGAGGGAATTTCTCAACTACTGCATGCTCTAAATGTATATTAGACTTCAGCCACCTTAGTAGACCCCCTTGGAGACTTCCAAGACTTACCGCTGTTAACATTGTGCTTGCATGGTTACAATAAAGGCCTGAGAGCTCGGTGAGGCTACCAAGGCACAATGGAACAGCATGCCCTCATGCTCACAATGACAATGTTAACATCAAATCAAATCAGGTTTATTGTCATTTTGCTGTACATACACAGTAGTACAGGCAAGATGAGGGAGCGTTTCTTCAGGATCATTTAATTAGTAAGTTTTGCAGAATGCACGTCTGGGATAAGACACTAAACGTTGACTCTTGCTGTCTCCTGAAGGGGGCGCTGCGTCCATGTGCGCCGCCATCACAACATGCTATGAAACTATCTTTTTTTTCCACCTTAGTATAGTTTGTCAAAGAGAAATCCATCCATCCATCCACTATCTATACACCGCTTAATCCCCACTAGGGTCATGGGGGGCTGGAGTCTATCCCAGCTGACTCATGGTGAAGGCAGGAGACACCTGGACAGGTCACCAGTCTATCACAGGGCTACACTTAGAGACAGACAACCAAGCACACTCACATTCACACCAACGGACAATTTAGAATCACAAATTTACCTTGCCATGTTGCCTGTGGGAGGAAGCCGGAGAACCCGGAGAGAACCCACGCTGCACGGAGAGAACATGCAAACTCCACGCAGAAAGATCCCTGGGAATCGGGGAGGACTATACACGGATGAACACATTGTAATGTTGCTGTTTTAGACAACGCATATGTAATTCACTGGAGTTAAAAAAAAAAATTTAATAAAATAAATAAACTGCTATTTTTTCACTTTAATGGAGCACACTTTAAGAAAACCTATATGAAACACAATAAAAAACAAAATGCTCCATCTTGTTTGGAGGAACCTTCCGTCCACTGTGCATTTGAAAGAAATGCTAAAAAAAAAGATTTTCCATTGAATGGTACACTTTGTTTGGGACCTGCAAGTGTCACTGACCAGGAAACTGTGGCCAGCAGTTACCTCAGTACCGCCAGCACCACGAGTTACGTCGTTAAACTTTTTGGAAGATACTACCACAAGTCGTGGAAATCAAGTTAAAAGTGAATACGCTATTGAGTCTGGCTCGAATCGGTGACCGACAGATTCTACACACAGTTGTGCTTCTAGCAAACAAAGCTGCTAAAAACTATAAGCTTTAAGTTTGTCAGTGCCGGTTCTACCAATGTGTGACTCCGATCAATGTGACATCACCATGTGACTGCATACAGTTTGTATTTACTGAGGAGCCAAAACATCAAAACATCTTCACACTCAATACTGCAGTTCATCAGGTCATCATCAACACATCCACAAAGTTTGAAACTAATCAGATGCACGGTTTTAAAAAAATGAACACAGACAGGAAGACAGAAAGGCCCTCAATTTATAGTCAAATGATTGAACTAGTGCACTGGAGACAGCTTTTGGTATGTAAGACATGTATGTGAAGGCCATGCATTCACCACCATGAGAGAAACGTAATAAATTAAATATCAAGCAAATTTATGAATAATCTTAGAATTATTTTAACCTTGAATATCATCAAAATACTTCACTTTAAAATATCCCTGACAATTAGATTCCCTTTTTTCGTCTGTGAACATCAAATCAATCCTCTCAATCCTCCTTAAAGATTCTTTGCTGCGACCTAATGCTGCCCTCTAGTGACAGCAGGCAAGAACTATTTTATTTTAAATTCCTGTATATCACCAAGTTGGGTGTTCTGTTCCTGCAGAGCTTTGCACAACATCTGAGTCATTATTATAATATTTCAGCTCCTTGAATGCAAACATCAAAGGTGCAAGCAGTACTGAGAAGGCAGAATCATATCTAGCACTCCTACATGGACAGATGCTCTTTATGCCGTACAAGATTTGTTCATATACATTCAAATCCAGTCGATTATTTCGTCATTATAGAAATGTTTTATTTATAACAGATGACTGAGACTAGAACAGCCAAAAATATTAATGAACAGATGTAAAGATCGGGATGAAATAACAAGAGAAATGAAGAGAAATTGCACTGTATAGCCATTACATATAACAAATCTATTACAAAAAAAAAAGACAAAATCAGACACAAGTTTATGCAGCAAAAAACAAAGTTCAAATGAAACTGAGATTTTTTTTTTCTTTCTCAACTTATGAGCTTGATACTATTTCCACACAATTCATTTACCACCTATCGAATAGCGGTTAAAAAATAACTCCTATGTAAAGTGTAAAGGTCGATCTTTGACCGTAACTAATGATCATTTATAGATTTTTTTCACAGCCTTTGAGGTCAAGCATTTTTACAGTCAAAACAGTGAGATGTCCTGCTGATGAAAACCTTGAGATGTGGTCAAAAGAACAGACAGACATTTGTCTTTGAGAAATGCTTTTAAGTTGGCCTTGATTTAAAGGTGTTTAGCCAAAATATTGTAGTCTCACTGAAATGAGAGGACAGAACTTTCGAATCCAGTGGTTTAGTGTTTTTGATTTAATCTGAAGTGCTGGCAAACTGTGCCTTTAGACAATTTGAACAACATTACTGCTTTCTGTTGCCCTGTACAGGCCACCATACCAAGAAAAGCTGCCCTTCAGTAAAATGCATTTCAATTGCAATACATATCAGATGCACTGAAAAAAATACTTTCAAGATAGTTGATATTGTTCTGTATTTGTTTCTCCAAGCTGTTGACCTATCCAGTAAGTGCATGTATGATAACCAAACACTGGGAGGTGTCAGCAAATACAGCGTCCTACACGGCTGTCTTTCTGGGATTGTCGGGGTCGAAGGTCATGATCTCCATGTGGATAAGACCTGATTGAAGAATGAAAAGGAACACAGTATTAAACTAGAGTGGATTTATTTCATCACAATATGGCACAGAGTGGATCTGGGTGCTTTGACACACATTAATGATCATTTTTAAGACATTAAATGTCACATCATCAGGACCTAATAGATTAGCCTTTGGTGAGCTTGTCTCATGGAAGACTTTCCTTCTGCATGGTGGCAGGGGGAAACTCATAATAATTAGAGACATTATAAGGTACCAAACCAACACTTAAGCAGTCTAGAAAAGAAATCTGTGGGAGAATTCTGTAATGCCAAAGATGGTGGTTGTCGAATCCATTCCCCAAATAGCCAATCACTGCCTTTGAGCAGTTTTTTTTTTTATCAGATCTGAATGCTGATTCTTTACATGCAATTTTTATGTTGTGGTTACCATTGAAATTATGGTTATGTCTCTCTCTGCATTCATTTAATGTCAGGATAAGACAATCAGAGGTAGAACAGGGCAGGTCATGTCTTTGCCAGTCTGCAAAACTACCATTCGTTGCCTCCATAAGGAGTGACTTAGGCTGCCTCCCATACAGAGCTAAAGGCCAGGCTGAGGGTCCATAGACACCCAAAATGACAACTGCTTATCAAAATTACATTTAACTTGGCACTACACTTTCTCAGGTCCAGAGCAATGCATCCATCAAGTCTGAAGTAGATTGTATGAACGTACAGTTAGAATGTAACCTTGGTTCTCTGAGTGAAGATACTATCTCTCCACCCAGCTACATATTTCGTATATGGGGAATGATCCCCCTACTTGTTGGAGTACGTGGATACTTCTTTAAAAAGCACCGGCTTGCCCAGTCACGCCCCACAGGGCGCCACTACATGCCACCACACCTTGCAGGGTAACGGCAGACTTCCCTGTCTCCAGCTAAGACAGTACAAACAGCAGGAGTCCCTGGGCTGCTAAGCAGGGATCCATCTGGTGAAGTCCATGCCAAGTGGTAAATACCCCCCTAACCATACAGGTAGGCAGCTCTTGTGGATGCCGATCAAACCTGTTTCGTAGTTCTTACTACAGGCCTCGACGAGCCCATGGGCAAGAACCTGTTCCTTTCAGAGGTCAGGCTGCCAATCCAGGCTTGGCCAGGAAGAGATGAAACACAGTCTCATCAGCCTGAGACAGCAGGTCTTTTCCAAAGAGGAAGCTTCCAAGGTGTTTCAATTCAGAGAGGCAAATCGCTGGGACCACTGCAAGTAAGGCCAAAGAGGAGCTACCAAAATCAGCCTCACTCATTCTGTCTGAATCCTTGGAAAAACAGGCTGGAGAGCATGAAAGGAGAGAAGGCTACAGGGCCGTGAGTGTACCAGGGCATCCCACCCAAGAGCTGGGTCATCATTCCATGAGGGAAAGAAGAGTCAACAATGTGCTGACTCTCTGGAACTGAAAATGTTGAACCTTTGCCCTGACAAAAGCGACATCAAGTCTTATTAACCCCCTGAGGGCGGAGTCACTACTCCCTTGTGAGTAGAGTTTGTCTTGACATGACTACTGCTGCCAAGTCTTTGGCACATGTGTGACTCTGAGTAAGCAGGAAACAGTTGAACCCTCTTCTACAGTGTGATTGCCAGCCTGCCTATTGATAGGCGCTACAGTCACAGTGCTGTCTTTCCTGGCAATGATGTGGTGACCTTACAACCTTGGCAGAAACTGCCAGAGAGCAAGGAGCTCTACGCTGCAGGATAATACACACTGGGTCACCTAACAGAAAATCTAGAGCCCACTGACCCCACAGACAGTATAAACCATGCTGTGAAGACCAGCCGGCAGTGGAGCATAGGTCAGGTCCTAGAGCGCTCCCCGTTACTCTTTGTTGGCTGAATCTTTCCACCAGCAGAAGAAATGGAAATCCCAAGAACCATCACTGTTGTCTAGAAAGACCTCTGTAAACAAAGCCGACGTCATTGGACAGGCTGCATGCACAGGAGGGGGAGAAAGCTGCTCTGCATCATGGCTGCCATTAGGCCCCTTGAGCAAACACATAGCTCCCAGTAGGCTAAAGATGTAGCAGGAATAGAATAGGACAGGATTAGAAGGCCTTTCTGAAGCCGGGAAACCAATTGCCCTCCTAGTCCAGAATCAAGCTCAGAAACCTGGTGTTGCCACAGACCAAACTATATAATGTCAAGCCGCTGTCCTGAGCCTCACATATGTTCCAAGAGGACAGCCACATAAAAATGGCATCACTCCTCTGAGCCCACGCACACCAGCTGAGGGGGTAGACGCCCACTATCAGCTGTCCCAGTCTGCGCTTGTCATGGACTACCGCTAAGAGCATTCGCTGGCTACCACAAGCAACATGCTCTAGGGGTATCCAGGTGTCAGCAGAGTGATGCTGGCTCAGCTACAGTAATATTCTTGCACCCGCTGCTAGCGGACTGCAAGGGACCCACGGGGGGCGCTAGCTCCATGAGCAATTCACTTGCATAGGGAAACAGAGCTGAAGTCTGATGTCAGAGCTATGTCTATGTCAAGTCAGATCCTGAATAGACTTGGATTTCCGCCTCCTATATTCAGTCAAAAGTCACTCTAATGGTCACCTTCAGCCGTTTCTACGCGGCTGTACTCACTCTTCCATTCTCCAACAGCGAGTTCCAGGCTCTCGAAGGAGTCGTCATAGAGCTCAGAGTCCGGTTCACACTCTGGATCATGATATTCAGCCAGGAAGGGGTGGGACAGCCCCTGTGTAGCCGTTAGCCTCATCTCAGGGTCCAGCAGCAACATCCCCTCCAGCAGGTCTACAGCTGGAGGCAGAAAAAAAAAACAAAACCCCTTTAATGATTTATTTCACTTGAAACTTATTTTAGTTTTGAATTCAAAGCAGCAAGGTTAGATCAGATAATACTGCAATTACTGCAAAAGAGATGAAGTACAAAATTTAACACGTTTTTCAGTTTTAAATCAACAAGTTGTGGCGCACCGTGGTCATCCATGGATTGAAACACTTCTCTAAAAATTTTCTTCTTCTGTGTTGGGAGCCCTTGCACGTATGATTGTGCCTGAAAAAGAGAGAATGACGGTTAAATTGTATTTCAAACCAAGAGCTTACAGTCCAAGAAAAAAATGTACGAGTTGGTGTAAACACTAAAACAAGCTGATGCTGATGTTAGCTCACTGCAGATGAAACAAAACTCACATCTTTACTCTGCATCTTCTGCACCAGGGAGGAATCTGGCGTTCCTGTCAGACGCAGGATCTTCTTCAGCTGATCGATACCTGAACACACTGGTTAAGGAAAGGTACATGCAGCAGGTACCACTGTTCTTCTGCAAGTCTAAAGTTTTACACGCTAGCTAAGATTTTCTTCTTAAAATTTTGTGTTTTGCTGACAATTTTACAACATTGAATGCATTAAAATCTTATTTCTTGATGCAGGTGCAGGTTGAATTTGACCTTACTCATGCTGTAAATGCTGCATGTTTTAAACTATCAACCACCAGTATGACATCATGAGAGTGATTATCTCTCAGCTTCAAGTTAGAAACAGACACGAATGAGACTGACTTTTATATGCAAAAATCTGTGCATTGTCCCTTTAAGCCTTACAACACTGCAGCTGATTTAAAAACTAAAAAATCCAATCTTTTAAAAATTAAAATTGCTAGGGTTCATATTAGTTTCTGGTTCCTGCAGCTGAACATACACAGTTTTATTAGAACACGTGTGTGGATACTGTCATGTCCTGGGAAAAGCACATGGCCAGTAATCATTTCGGCCAGAATACAGGCGGCTGACCAGACATCCACTGTGAGGGAGAGGGGCACAGGGAGAATTTTAATAATAACAACAATGTAGTACTTTGTCATACTGCAATATTCTGTCATATTTAAAACAAACAGACAGTGACTACCTGTATTAAGGGTAGGTATTATTATTATTATTATTATTACCTGTCTGGCTGTAGTGCATCCAGTTGAATATGACCTCTGGTGCTCTGTACCAGCGCGTCACAACATAACCAGTCATCTCACTCTCCGTCTGTCTTGCCAGGCCAAAATCCAGGATCTGGCAACAGTTACAAGTGATTGTTCAGAGGGAGAAAGGATTTTGGTTCCATCTTCTGTATTTAAAATCACTCTTAGACTCTTTGACTGTTTCGCACATCAAGACATGGATAAAATGTTGATGTACGTGTTTAAAACGGGAAATTTAAATCATGTCTTTTCACACGGAACATTTGAACTAATCATCTTCTTGATTGTGTTCAGCTTTATTTTTTGATTCTTAAACCTTACCTTTAGTTCACAGTTTTCACTCACAGCCAGATTTCCGGGCTTCAGATCCTAAAAAAAACAAACAAACAAACAAAAAAAAGAGGTTGTTTACTAACACCTATTACGACCAGCAGAGAATATACATTATGCAATACTTAAAGAAATAGTTTGACATTCTGGGGGATAGTCTCATTTGTCTATCTCATACTAAACTGTGTCAATCAAACGCAATAATCTAGAACAGGGGTGGGCAACCCTGGTCCTCGAGGGCCACAGTCCTGCACGTTTTAGATGTTTCCCTCTTCCAACACACCTGATTCAAATGATCAGCTCATCATCAAGCTCTGCAGAAGCCTGATAACGATCCTGATCATTTGAATCAG